TTGAGGCCAACACATCTGGAAGTAGCCCATTTGAGGAATGTTTTCTTAAGCACTGCATTACTGGTAGGCTTTCCGTGTTCCAATTCCATAATTATTTTTTTTACTTAATATTGTTCACCATCCAGAGTCACTTGTTGAGGTGGGTGGCTATACGAATCAATTAAATGAATAAAGTGTGAGATGTGTGTTCAGTGCAACCTTTCTGTGCCATATATTGCCCTTTCCATCGTGCCTAGTCGGAGGAGTCAGTGATTTGGGTCTGGGGATTGTCACTTTGGCAACAGCTTGGAACTTGCTGCTGAAAAAGGCTGGGTACATGAATGGTCATAGGGTTGGTCTTTCTGAAGAAGGTGGTGATGGAGAATAATAGGTGAATGATGCAATATGCATTGATGATGGATAGAGTTTTGTTTATAAGCCTCCCACAGGTTTGCAAATCTGAGCTTGGCCTCAGAAAAAGCAACAGAGTGAAGTAAAGCCAATAGAGAGAGGTACTATTATGGCATAGTAGGTTTTAAGAAGGCAAGGCACCATATAGGTGGCCTAGGAGGAAGGGTCTCAAAGTTGTCTAACAACATTTCTGGATGTAGAAACCTAGCATGGAACTTTGGCTATGCCCTCCTAACTTAGAAGTCTTGTTATGCTTCAAATCTGAAGAGCAGTTACTCATTGTTGTAGGAAAGTTGCATGTGGCTTCCCTTTTCAGATGTGCACTGGTTTTCTTCATACCTCGTCCCCCATTTAATGGCTGTATCTGAAGATACTTAATGTAGAGTCTTGACTAATTAAAACCTTGGTATGGAACAGAGGTCCCAGCACTTATTTATAGGGAAATCTGATGTCCATACTGTATTGAAAATCTAGAGAAACTGAGGTGGTTAGTAATGTGCATATAGGAAACTGTATTGTGAGAATAGTGGTGTCAGTTCTTTTCCTCTGTAGCAAATGGGAGAAGCGAGCACGCTCTATAACACCATGAATGATGAAACTGGATGGATTGTAATTTCATTACCCCTACCCTTCCAGATAGAGGGGATTTAATAGTACACTACATGCATCTTCATTTTGGGATTACTACTGCTAATTGGAATAGATGGTTACTCAGATGAATAGTCCAGTGCTCTAATTTGGCAGAAATATAATCCTGTATATTTCCAGAGCATAAGCGTTGTAATTTAGTGGAGAATGACAAGGCTTTGTGGGTCTTTGTGGGTGTTGGCAGAATAAATTACACAAGGCTGATTCTTTAAAAGTACTACTTATGCTGGTCTTTGACTGTAATAAAGATTTGATTTGATTAAAAGTAGTACTGTAGTATTAAGGCTACAATTCTGTTCATATTGACTTCAGCATTATCTCCATTCGTCTCAGGAAATACTTCTGAGAAGACGTATGTAGAATTTTACTATAATGCTTTTTACCAATAATCTGTAACATCATCAATTGTGCTTGTTATGTAAGTAATGGTGGTTTAATTAATGTTGTTTTGAAATTTCTCAGCCCTTGTGGATTAAGTGTACATGTGTGGCTTGTACATTTTAATTTTCTGCCTACTAAATATAGAGTATGGATTAGAAATGTGATAAAGGTGTATCACAGACACACTAGATGTAAATCTCTGAGTAAAGCCTGTCAAGTGAAAGAACGAATTATTTTGAAAGGCAGCTAGCAAGTATGCAATTAATTGAATGGCTCCCATTGCTACTGGCCTTACAGAAAACCTACTGAGATTTCTCTTGTGCTAAATCCGTACGTGCATCTTATTCTGCTCTGCAGTTAAAACTTTTAGCTTATAATTTTAGCTTGTGCCCTTAATATAATTTTAGTCTGTAAAATGTGGTGGGTATTTGACTAAAAAGCAAACTGTTTTGTTATAAATAGCACATCTTTGAATGTAAGTGTGTTAGTTATTTTTCCATAAAGGCTACGTTCCTCACTTTTATAGAAACCCAAAGCTTGTAGTACTTGTTTTTCCAGTATATGGTTAGTCTGTGCCACTGACTATATAGGATCGCTTCCTTATGCTATTTAATAATGTACCATGATCCAGAACATCAGATTATCATGAGGAGGTGGGGGTCAGATAGAAGCACTGTATGCAATTAAGTGCTTCTGTTTGGTGTTTCTGTGGTAAAAAAGATTCAAGATGCTTTTTAAGTTTAAAAATATTGATAATCATGGGTAAGCAATCTGGCTTTACATTGCATGCCTCCTTTTATTTCTTAGCAATTTTGCAAGTGCAAAAAATAAGGTCACCAACTGACCTACCTACACTTGTATATATGATAACTTAAAAGAAGAAAAAAGGACTAGCTCCAGATATTCAACCATTCTTCTCCTTTTTCATGTGGAGGTGATTCTTTCTTGACAGTGAGGACTCACGAATACTAGTTTAAGGCATCTGGCTGTACTGATGTGTGTGCACTGGATAAGTTCTCTGTTTTATAGACATTTCTTTAGAAATGGTATTTACTGACTTGTAAAATGTGTGCATGTTTAAATAAAAGCAGGGTACATATGTTCAAGGTTGCTTTATCTACTGTGTACATTTATTTGCTCATATTGTCTCTGCAAGACCTAAATGCACTGCTGTGAAGCTCCTTAATCCACTCTAAAATTATAGGGCTTTTTTGCATACCTGTCCTTATTCTGCAGCCTTCCCACCTTGATGCTTTTTAGATGTATTGAATACAATTCCCAGAGCTCCTAACCCAACGTTAATGCTGATTAAGATTTCAGGGAATTATAGTGCAAAACATCTGGAGGCCCCCACTTGGAGAGGTTGCTAAAATATGCTTCATTAAAAAGTGAAGTGGCCAGAATAAAAATGAGATAATCTTTTTTAGAGACCCAGTTTGGTGGTGTGGTTAAGGCATCAGGCTAGAAACAGGGAGACCATATAGTCCTACCTAGGCACAAAACCAGCTGGGTGACCCTGGGCCAGTCTGTCTCTCTCAGCCCTAGGAAGGAGGCGATGGCAAACCACTTCTGAAAAATCTTGCCAAAAAAACTGCAGGGGCTTGTCCAGGCAGTCTCCGAGAATCAGACACGATTGAATGGATTAAAAAAAAATCCTTTTTAAGTCTCATGATTCAGATAGATAAGGCTGTACCCACATTGGAAGACAAGAGAAGAGCCTAGATTCCAACCTAATTCATAAGTTTGCTATCACTGATTATCCATGTGTGAGCCAAGTCTTATCCCCAATGGCTGAGTAAGGAAATTATTGCATAGTGATCCAGTTTCTCTGATTTATCTATGCCACTTTTCTTTTCTTTTTTTAAGGCAATTACTTTTGTGTGAGACGAGGCGCCTTTGTTAGTGTTCTGGAACAGTTTGGGAAAAACTGTTCTTAGCTGCAACAGAAACTGGAGGGTCTCTTAGCTTATTACTTTTATTATTCATTATTGTGCGCAAATAATAGGCTGGTGTATGCTGCCTGTTTGTTTACACATCCTCATGAAGAATGAAGCCTGGCTTCCCATGACTCTAAACCTTTTTTAATTGCTTTCTGGCCTGACTCTTACAGCACAACTCACAAGGAAACCATTGTGGCAACCATCTGTAATTGAAATGAATATCCTTTGGAATTGCCTGGGTGGTATTGGCAGTATAGAGTAAGAAGGAAATGTTTCCTGTATGAATATGTTTCTCTCTCACATGCCTCTTTTGCCATTATTGTCTCTCAGTTATCTCCATTGCTACTTCTGGGATATCACACATAATTAAAAAAAAAAAAAAAGTCTTTCCCCAAAAGCTTCCATACTGAGCACATTCATGGAAACTGAGCAGATTTGCATAACTTGGCTGCACTGTTTGCATTTTCCAGGCTCAGGTATGGGATTTTGATCTTTGTAAAGGCCATTTCAGAATAAGAATTCACAATTTTACTATCACAGCGAGTACAAGTAAATGTGGTATTGATACACGTGCTGTGAAATTATTGTATACCTTTGGGCATCATGTACAAGTGCTTTTTTTTAATTCATAAGGAATCATATGGCTCTAACATCACACAGGTTTGAGTGGGGAATAGCAGTTAATATGCAAGAAGATGCAGATGTATTCATCGTATCAATCTGTTGGATCCGCTTTCTGGGTTTCTGTGTCTCTCTGGTTAGCTTTTGTGAGCTGTATAGGCGAGCCATATAAACATCGTTCCTTTTTGAAAAGTCTGTTAAATGGCAATCATGCTTTTCCTGTTGAGGGAAGCACCTAAATCACAAGAAAGAAATCATTAACAGCAAATTAATTTGTAGGTAATGTTTATGGTTGATTTTTTTCCCATGGAATGACATTTTACTATACAGAGGTTTTGACATAAGTTGTTCTTCTGTCAACTAGAATGGTTCGAACAGCTATTATCACTATTATTATATTTCAAATTTGTCACCACCCATCTCACTGCAGAGTTGAGAAATTCACAAGGAGGAAGGAGGTTGCAAGACTGTTTGCCTCTTAATGTTGCATGACGTGCTAGTGTATGTCAACAATTCTTGGGGTCAGCTGCCCATACAGCCTTCTTTCAGACAGTCTACTTCCACACTTCTATTTTTTGCATTCTTAGTACAGTATGTCCAGCACAGCTTCTAATGGGCTTAATTCCCCATTTATTAGATCAAGAGTCTTAGTGCGCTGATTTGAGGACATGTGAGTGGTTCTGGGTCATATGAGATAACTAATGCCAATATTTTCTGTAGGAAATTACACTATCAAACTACAGCCACTCATAAAGCAACTCAATTAATTCCATCCCACTTCGGGCAGCCCTAAATGTGCCATGTCTCATAAATGTAATTTACTCTTTCGAAATGATTCATTGTCTGTAGAACTGGCTGCTTGGCACTTCTTGTATTTTTATTCTCATCAACTTGCAGATCATATGCAGTGCAAAGTTGAAACTGCATTCATGGCAGCAGACTGCTTGTGGTCTTTAAAGCAGTGTCGTGCATTTTAAATTCTGATTCGTGAACGCTCCTTTTGTGCCTTTTGCAGGTTACATTTTGTACCAGAAGAGATGGACAGCAGCAGCTTCATCCAGTTTGATGTTCCTGAATACAGCAGCAGTGTCCTGAGCCAACTGAATGAACTTCGCCTGCAGGGCAAACTTTGCGATATCATCGTGCATATTCAGGGCCAGCCATTCAGAGCTCACAAAGCTGTTCTAGCCGCTAGTTCTCCCTACTTCCGAGATCATTCAGCATTAAATACCATGAGTGGCCTGTCAATATCAGTCATTAAAAATCCCAGCGTCTTCGAACAGTTGCTTTCCTTTTGTTACACTGGAAGGATGTCTTTGCAACTGAAGGACGTTGTCAGTTTTCTAACCGCAGCTAGTTTTCTACAGATGCAGTGTGTCATTGACAAGTGCACACAAATCCTCGAAAGCATTCATTCAAAGATCAGCGTCGGGGAAGTCGACTCAGTCACTATTGGGGCCGAAGATACTCTGGAAAACCACAACGGCATTAAGGAGGGCGGGTATTTTGCCAACCCCGTCGAAATTTCCCCTCCCTATTGCTCTCAGGGGCGTCAGCCTGCTTCAGGGAACGATCTCAGAATGGAAACGACGCCAACCAACGCTCTGCGCAGCCGCCTGCAAGAAGAGGGGCACTCGGACCGCGGTAGCTGTGGCAGCGTTTCGGAATATGAGATTCAAGTTGAAGGGGATCATGATCCAGGGGAGCTGATTGTTAGAGAGAGCCAAACCGCTGAGGTGAAAGTCAAAATGGAAAAATCTGATCGGCCAAGCTGCTCAGATAGCTCTTCGCTTGGCGATGACGGGTACCATACCGAAATGGTAGATGGAGAACAAGTGGTAGCCGTTAATGTTGGTTCCTATAGCTCCGTCTTGCAGAACGCTTACTCGTACTCCCATGGCACACCCCAGCCTGCTAATGTCTCTGAGCCCTTTGGAAGTCTGAGAAACTCGAGCTCTTCACGATCTATGCTGGGCTCCTTCCGAGGCCGTGGGCGTCAAAAGCGGATCTCCACGAGCCACTTGCATAGCGACGTTTCAAGTCTGATGCAGGGAGCCGACGCAGAACCTTCAGCCCATCACCCAGGCTATGAAGGTAGTCCACGGGAAAGGAATTCCAGAGGCCACTGGTATGCCTACAGTGAAAGGTTAATCTGTATATACTGTGGGAAGTCTTTCAACCAGAAGGGGAGCCTTGATCGGCATATGAGATTACACATGGGAATCACCCCCTTTGTGTGCAAGTATTGTGGGAAGAAATACACGCGCAAGGACCAACTTGAGTACCACATCCGTGGCCACACCGATGATAAACCTTTCCGCTGCGAAGTCTGTGGAAAATGTTTTCCTTTCCAGGGAACCTTAAACCAGCATCTGCGAAAGAATCATCCAGGCGTAGCAGAAATAAGAAGCAGAGTGGAGTCTCCCGAAAGAACAGAAGCCTACGTGGAGCAGAGAGATGAGGATGCTTCAGCTGCTGAAACTCTGGATTATACCATGGACGTGCACACCCCTGATTAAAAAAGAGATGGTATTCCTCAATGCGAACTCGAGCAAAGCACATTGATCAATGCATTTCCTTCTTGTTTCTTTGATAAGTTTCACAATAATTAGTATGGCATTGTGATTATTTTTCCTAATATATTTTGCAATTCTTGTGGGCGTTGTTCCAGAATAAAAGGCTGCTGTTTTGTTTGGAAAGAGGCAGGGTTAGCTTAACTCCTAAAAATGGTTACAAGGGGCAGGATTCTAGAGAAATAATGCACTTCCTGGTGGGTGAGCTTCAGTAGTGAAAGATGTGATGACGATGTGGGTAGTACAGGCTGATTCACCCAAGACAGTGCATTTTCTCATTGTATTTTGTGTGGCCCAGGAGCAGACGTACATCCTTGGATGTAAGTCTTATTGTATTCAGTAGGACTTATTTCAGTTTGGCACACCTAGAAAGCTATACCAGAGTCAGTCTGACTCCCAGAGTTGTGCTCGTGTCACACACATACTTTTGTCATATGATATGGATTCAAGATGGGGTTTTGTTTCTTTCTTTCTTTTCTTTTCTTTCTTTTTTTTTTGGAATAACTATTTTGATAGCTTTGAATTTTATATAATATATTATATATAAACACATATAAAATGTTCATTTTTTTCTCTCTGGTCGGGGGTGAATGTAGAAGTATCTTCAATAGAAAGGGGGGGGGGAAACCCTGTTGATAAGGCTTTCAAACTGTTTAGGTCACCTCTCCCTGGATGTTGTTCAAGAAACATTATTCTTGAGTTTGTTTGTTTTCCCTATGTACAAATATTATGTCCAAAAGCAAGCAAAGCATACTTCAAAATAACTTTGCTCCATAGCATACATAAACCAAATGCCATAAATGTATTAACTTGGAGTGGGGATTGTTTGGGCTTTTTGTCTAGAATACAAACTGGACAATATTGGTGCTGACCCCCTTTTTTATAGAAAAATGTATTGTTATATTAAGCAACACAGAAAGTAGCATTATGGTTTAAAATATTTTTTACTGTCCTCAGAATCTACCTTCATTTCGTACTGTAAAGGCAGACCAGGTAAATCATGTTTTACATTAATCACTCTGGGTAGGTATAGTTAGCTTAACAATAGATTTACAAGGGTGTTGTAGTTGAATCTACAATATTTCAGTGCAGTATTTGTAATGGACCTCTTCAGGTGCATCTTACCTTCATACGTAATGTTTTCAAGTGAAGCTGAAACAGTTGATTTTTTACTTTTTTTGTAATGATACTATGTGGGAATTATGAGCAATATGTCCTATTGTATTAGAGAGGTTATTTTTAGCTTCTCCATAACTTCAGTGGCTAATCAGTATTTTTCATAAAGAGCCAATAACAAATATTCTGCTTTTTCTCCTTCAGATGCTTGATAACTTAAAAGTGGTGCTAACTTTTTTTTCCTTAGAACAGTACAGCATAGAAAATGTGAAACTTACTGATAGTAAAATCTTGTATTTTTCCACTTAGAGTTTTGCTTTCCTGAAACGGACCTCAAGAGTATAAGCTGGCAAACTTTACTGTATTAAAAAATTCTACACAGTGGAGAGAATATGGATTTTGTTCAATCATTTTAAAGCATATTACTTAGGTATCTTTAAGCTTGGTGGAATGAGAAGCGTTTTGGTCAGGGTCTTCATGGATATCGAAAACTGTGTCACAAGCTGTTCGGCAAAGAAGTTCTTCTCCTTGCTGTGTTTATTAGTAGCAGCTTCTGTTTCTGACACGTAGGTGAGGATACCAGGCTTCCAAACTAGGCTGAGCAGAGCAGAGCAGAAGGTTGAGGTCAAGATATTAGGACAAGCATGGTCAGAGGCAGGAGAAGATAACTTTTAAAGCTATTGGATGTGCTTGGCTTGAAGGGTGCTTGGGACTCAAGGTTCCTCTTTTCACGTGCCTGTTTTTTCTCTCTTCATCTTGGCTTACCCATGACAGCGTGACCACGCTACTCCTAGTTAACAAAACCATTGTTTCTCTAATCACTCCAATATGTACAAAAATGGTTTATGCTCCTTGGGCAGGGGGTAGACACATTCTGCATATATATGCCCCTCTCTGCCAAACATTGCATGAACATTTTGCCGACTTTGAAAGATTTGTATTTGTATATCGTAATGCATATTGGCATTTGAATCTGAGCCTTTGCTTTAATTCTAGTATGATTCCTTAAGCTTCTCGCAACTGTGAATTTTTAAATCCTTTTAAGAAAGGTGTGGCTTTTCTTTGTGAGAATTCATAATCTACCATCAGAATTCTCATTCTGCTGAGATGACTTATATAAAGTTATATGTGAATGTTCTGTATATTCTGAGGTTTTAAACACTGAAAGCACAGCTGTGGTAAAACCGAGGAAAACAAATGTAGCAAGACAGGAGGGTCTGAAAAAGTCTTTCCATGGGAGTGCCGGCAACATCTACGATCTTGCAATCTTTTTCTGAATTATAGGTAAAGAATTGCTGGTTTCACAGTGGTTGTGAAGTTTACAGCTTTATTACTTTTTTTTTTGAGATTTTAAGGAAACAAGAATAGATTTTTGCAGTGTTTTAGAGGGAAATTTTTCATTACAGTAGTGTACCTAAAGTCTGCAGTATATCAGGTCTGCTCCATGAGTGGGGTTAAACTAGGATATATAATCAGCCTTTTCCTCCTCAACCTCCCTTAGAGATTTTCCCCTCTATCATCCCAAACCAGCCCTATTATTTTTTTTTTTCCTACTCTAGAAAGATTGGGATCCAAAGAGCCACCCACACACACACAGGAGCTTCCATATGTGCATTTGGGTGTCCCCTCCCATTTCCTCTGCAACCCCTCATCTCTCCCCACCCTCCACTTCTGAACATCAGAAGACTACAGAATAGTGTCCAGTGCTGGGAGAAGGGGGGTAACAGGATTCTGGTAGAGTGGTATTGGTGAAATGCCCACATCTTGCACCAGAAAAAGCATTTTCCACTTTTCTATAGGGCACCTTTGGATCCCAGGCTTCAAGGAACATCCATTCATGTATCTTCTTAATGCTTGTTAAGGCATATGCTAGCTTTCAGCCTTTTGCTGAAGGAATGAAACCGTTCTGATTGCTTTGGAAAAATTCTCTAACAAAAGTCCAGGTGTGCAAGTTAATCCTGACCCTTTGTGGTGACAACCTCTGCTGTGGTGCCTTTTAATTCAGTTGGCTTTACTCCATAGTAGTCCGAATTAAGGAGAAAAAGGGAAGGGCAGTCAACTTTCTGTTCTCTGATTCAGCCCTCTCTCAATCTTACAAAGTTCATAAAATATTATTTATTTATTTTTTAATCTGTAAACTTGAGCTGGTTTGAGTTTACCAAAGAGTGATGGATCCAAAATGCGACATGGTTTTAATTATGCAGATTTCATAATCAGGACTGTTAACAGCCTAAGCGTTATTGACCTAATGACACCCCTCATTCAAGAGGTTTTCGAGTCCTTGATACGTTTGCTTGTGTTGATACCTTGTTTTCCTCTTTCTACTGCCTCCTGGGGTTAAAAATGATCAAGCCATAATATAGTACTGTATGGATCAGAGAGCTTCAGAGGACTTGGCAGCTGTAGGAGTCTAATATGGATCAAGTTAACAAACTTAGTTTCCAATAGTTTCCATAAGATTTAAAAGCATGCCTAAAGGCTGGTTCACACAAGACACTAGCTGCCTTGGATTTAGTGACAGGGCACATTTGTAAAAAAACAAATTCTGCTCCAGTTCTGCATCTTTGGCTTATGTATTGGAGGCAAACATCCTGCAAAGACCAGATGAATGCAGAGAACAGAGATAACTAGAAGTTGGCTAATAGTTAGTAGCAAACTCCTCACTCCTGCCATAACATGAATGGCCCATACCTCTTTTCCCCATTCCTTAGACTGCTTCAGTCATTGCATTTGGGCTAATTCTCCAGTAGAGAGCAATCACTTGGCTGCCATTTTAACTGGCAACTCTATCCTTGTTAAAATTCCATCTGGAATTTCCAGCTGCTTAAAGGTCAGGTGAACAATTCTGGCGGAAGCCTCAGCAGCACAGTAAGAGTATTAAATTTTCTGGATACTAGTGGTTTGCCTTTGCGTATAAGGCAAAATGTATTGTGTGAAGCAGCCCTTATGTGTCTTCCTGGATTTTGCTCTACAGTTTCCCCTGGAATGTTGCTACATGCACAAATGACAGATGTTAAACTTCAAATCTATCAGCAGCACCTATATCGTGCCTTTTTGCACCATGTTTTCATTATAATGGGGGTACCATCTTCTTATTCTTTTGAAGTTCAGCTCTTATGATCACCTAGGTGCAAAGCATGCAGTGAATTATTTTAAATGAATTCCAGTAGCCAGTAGTACTGTTGACTGTGTGATTTTAAGTTAGTGCAGAACTGCAAGTTCATTTCATTTACAATAATGCAGAAATTAAGGAAATCAGTGAGATAGATATATGAAATATTGGGTTACATATGTGAAATTATACAAATTGGTTCATAATTGAGTCTCTTAATCTACCTTTTTAGCTACATAGACAATGTGAAAAAAAACAGTGACTGTCCTTTGTTATATGTTTTAACCTATTTACATACTGTGAAAACAAAATTTTATACTTTTGCTAATGTTTGTGGTTTTAAACAGCAATTGATTTTTTTCCGAACCAGTTAACTCTTCCATATAATTTCTATTGAGGTTGTAAATAAACTAGGGGCAAAAAAGCTTTGTAAATAAGTGGGGTTTTTTTAAAAGCAACAGAGCACCTCACAATTGGTTCTATACTCAAGAATGAATGCTTTTAGTGACAGGAAGGATAGTTTTAGAAATTTGCTATAAGTGGGAATTGAGGATGTTCATTTTAAGGGGAGACTTAGGGAATTGCAATAGCCTTCACTCTAACCTTTCATATATATTTTATGCATGTTTCACAGTATAAGTAACTTGGAAGTCCTGGCAAAAGAGAGATCAGGATGACTAGGCCCAATCTCTTTAACCATGGTTCATCTTGGGCCTTTTCTCTGCTTCATCCCAAAGTGGAACAGAGGAGGATACAACAAGTCACACTAGATGTTACCCAGCTGGCATTGTCCAGATGTGTTGGGTGTCAACTCCCATAATTCCCACCAAGCTTGCACTTTGTTGGCTGGGAAGTAAAGAAGTTGAAGTCCAACATAAGACTGGGAAAGGCTGGGCATTATGAAGGGCAGAGGTGAAGGGTTTATGTAAGCCATCTCTTGGTTTGCACGCTTGTTGCCTAAACTGATTTTTCAAAGTCTCTTATAATTCCCAGGCGACATGAAATCCGTAGAGAAGTCTTTCATTTATTTCTAGATAGAATTATGTTGTTATCTGAAGCAGTTGTTCTGAGCTAATATAGGAAGACAGCAGGAATTTTTGGAACAAGGGCTGGGAAAAGATGGTGTGGCTGAGCTTTATCTTTACACAAATTTCTCTTATTTGAAATATATGTTAAGTTTACTGTGACTTCTTTTGTTGTTATTGTTGTCGTCATCAGAAGGGGTTTCACATTGAAGCCACTGAAAAGGGACTCAAATATGCAACACCTAATCTATT